TGTGTGTGTGTGTGTGTGTGTGTGTGTGTGTGTGTGTGTGTGTGTGTGTGTGTGTGTGTGTGTGTGTGTGTGTGTGCGCGTGTTAGGAGGAAGGGGAGTAGGAACAGGCAAACACCCTCAGGTTTCCCAGTGCACGAGCTGTGCTGTGTGTGTGCACGCCGCAGCGCGGCGGCCCCTGCTTCCCCCCACATCCACACGCCCTGCCCTCCCCCCCGCGCACCCCGTCCCTTTGCCCCCGGCAGTGGCCGCTTCCCTTCCGTCTGCCCCTGAGCCGGACTCGCGCCCCCCGGGCTGCCCCCTCCCTCCGCGGGCTTTGTCCCTCGGCCGCCGCCTGCTCGGGGCTGCGGCGATGCGGGCGAGTGGCCAGTCCGCGGCTCCCCGCACACACCTCACCTGGCGGCTGCAGCCGGCTCCACGCTACTTCCCCCAAGCCCCGGGCATCGCCTGGCCCCTCCCGGCCTCGCATCCCTCCCCTGCAGCGCTCGCAACTTACCACCGCCTCCCACCAGAGCTGCTCCTGGGAGGCTGGGATTTGATGAACAACTGGGTTTCTCTAGGAAGGGGGGGTGGGGGGGTGGCTCCAGTTTGCGCGACAGAAGGAGAGAGGCAGGAAAGAGGGAGCTATGAATAAATGATGAGCCTCTCTCCAAGGAGCAGGCTGGGGTTGGGAGGCTCGCAGCCCTGTCTGGCAGCTTGAGGAGGGGCTGGTGCATGGGGGAGAGAGGACTCATTCCCCCGGCAGCATATCTTTCTTTTTCTCTCCCCCTGCCCCCTTTAAAAAGAAAGAAAGATGCTCCAAAATAAAAGAGCCAGGTGCACCTTCCTGGAGAGGAGCCACTGCTGTGGAAAGCAACAGCTGCTGCAGTGACAGGGCCTGCGTGGGCTGGTGTGAACGCTGGCACCTAGGACTGGCAGGACCTGGCCTAGAGCAGTGGCCCTCAACCTTTTTTGTACCAGGACTCATTTGTAAACAGCAATGACCTGTCCAGTGCCCCTCATTCCCGACCCACTGCCCCCCCCCCTCAGTGTTTGGGGCAGGGGCTGGGTGTTTGGGGCCAGAGAGCAGGGTGTGGGTTAGGGGGGGCCCTAGCAGGCTGGAGCTCTGCCAGCTTGCAAGGGAAAAGCCACAGTTTCCCACATTTTTCTGCTTTAAGGGAGAATCCATTTTTAAAGTTTGTTCACAACTCTTTCATATATTTTTGCAGCTCACTTTTGGGTCACAAACCCCAGGCTGAGAAACCCTGACCTAAGGGAGGTGTGGGATCTCCTTCATTGCAGTCTCCCAAGCTGAGCTTGTATAGGCATCAGTGGAGCTCCTTGCCACCAGGTGTGGTGAAAGCTGGAGGCTTAGCCACATTCAAAAAGGGATGGGACACATTCTTGGAGAAAAGGAGCATCAGTAGATATTGAGTGTGGGAGTTAGGGCCATAGCCTCTGAATCAGAGCTCCCTGGACTTTAAATGCTGGAGGCTGCAAGTGGGAAAGGAACAACAGGGTCATACCCAACAATGGAGGAAAACAGGGTCATACCCAGTTCACTCTCCCTTGCAGCATCCACTCTGCCACTGGGTGACACAGGCCCTTTTGATGTGCCATTTGGTCATGGGACTGGGCCCATCATGGGGAACTATAAGCCTCCCTTAAGAGAGGCCACTGAGGATGTATCAGCTAAATGTGTGGGACAACCAAAAGGAAAATGGGAATGAGAGTGAGGCTGTAAGTTAATAACTAGGGCATCAGAAGTAGACACTGAACTGTGTGACACAGGAGACGGGGCAAGATGAACTGATGGTCTGCCCCATTCAATGGCAAGTCTTATGTTCTTAGTCTAGGATACTTTAGGAAAGGGGTGGCCAACCTGTGGCACAGGTACTGTAAGTGGCATGGGCAGCCTCTGTGGGTGGCATGTGGGAGATCAGGGAGGAACAAGCAGCACAGATAGAGGAGGGAGCAGAAAGCAAAGCAGTGGATTGGGCAGGGAGCACAGGGCTGGGAGCAAAAAGCAGAGCAGGCAGGGAGCAAAGGGCTGGTAGCAGACAACAGAGCAGCAGATCAGGCTGGGGAAAGGGAGCAGAGTAGCACTTGAGGAGCATACAGGGGTAAGTTTTGGTGCATCTGTCAAAAAGGTTTGCCCCCACTGCTCTAGGAATAACAATGGGATTGGACTTGATGACCCTTTTGACCCTATTTTTCCATTTTAGCAGTGCCTAGAAACCCCAAGGGTGATCACGGCTCCATTGTGGTATGTACTGTACATCTGTGTGAAAGGAGAGAGTCTGCTCGCAGGAGTTTACAGTCTGTATAGACAAGACAGAAGTAGTTGGAGGAGGAGGGGGGAGAATTATAACCCCATTTCCCAGATGGAGATTTGAGGCACAGAGAGATTAAGCAATTTGTTCAAATCCGTGTAAGAAATCTATGGCAGAGCTGGAAACTAAAGCCCAGTCTCCTGAATTCTAATTCAGAAACTGAACACAAGCCTTCTGCTGCCAGTAGTTGATCTGTTATCACTCTGGTGTTTTCTGCTTGCTGAGTAGAGCATAGAAGACAGAAAAATACATGAATATGCAAATATATTGTAATAAGTTAACAGCCCCCTAGAGTTTGACAATTAGCACCATTATCCTTCTGTGGGCATTCCACACTTTACAGCCTTCACCTCCAGAATAAAATGTTCCTTGCTGCAGAAGTTTTTTTGGGTAGATGTGATATCTTTTATTAGACCAACTAAATAGTTGGAAAAATTGTTCTTTGCAAGCTTTCAGGCACAAACACCCTTCCACTGCTGATTTTAAGGGAAATTTCTGCTACTTTTCTGCAATATCATTTCTAGATAACAAACCTGAGCAGTTTTTTTTTCCAGTAGCCAGTTCAAGGCAACATTGGTGCTGTTAATACACTTCATTGATACAGTTACAGTTTAATCCATCTGATTTGAATACGATCACCTGGCCAGTCAAACGATGGCTTCAGCTCATGGGTACAGTACAGTCTGGGGCCTGGGCATGGTTCAAAAAAAGCCTAAAATGGGGCCTGGGAAGGCTAAGCCAGTGAATAGGCTGCTGGGCTTCAGTGACAACGGACTGAGCTAACAGAACCTTTATCGCTGTCTGATCTGTTTCCTTGCATACTTCTAATGCATCCATGCCAATCCACCAAGTATTTACATGGCAAACTCTTCCAACACAGTACTTATTTACCCAATCTGGTAGATTCCCACAACATATAGGTGACAAGTATTAAAGATTAATAAATTAGATCAGTGTTTCCCAAAGCAGGGTGCACTTTTTCTGGATTAAAATTGGTGGCACACTGCACTGTTATACCCAAAAAGGGTTGGGGTGTGTGTGATTATATACCCATACACAGGTTTGTATGCATTACTCAGTGATGCCCAATCTTTTGTCCCCATGGGCCAGATAAGCAGTGCTAGGTTGGTCTGTGGACCAGATCCTGTCTATGATCCCAGTCCTGCTGTATGGGGCTGGAATGACCAGCACTTGATCTCACCATTTGGGGTTTGGAAATTTGGTGGTGGGGGAGGGGTGGCAGTATTCATTGCCACTGCTCCCCCACCACTGAATTTCCAAACCCATGGGGAGCCCCACAGGCAAGATAATCTGTCTCTATGGGCCAGATCTGATACCAATACATAAAATATTATTTTTCATGGCACACTTTTGCCACTTCCACAGAACACTAGTGTACTACAGTACACCCTTTGGCAATCACTGGGTTTAGATGCATGTAAAATCTTCAGGAGAGGGATTGTCTCTCCCCGACCCCGACAATGGTCCATGGCCTTTCCCAATGGGGCTCAGGCCTCTATCAGTGACAGACTGCAGCTTCCAAGCCAGAAGTACCACTTCAACTTACCATCATCAGCTCTTTGCAGAAAATGTTATTGAAGTATTTTGTTTTAGCTGCATGCATGGAGTGTGTCCTTGCTACAGTCCTGAGTAATGCAACATACTATGCAAATTGCTAGTTTTTTCTTCTGAACTGGCATGTGTTTGTCCTAGTTCACCTGGTGGGAGTCCACATTGTTGTGGTTCTGTCAGTAAGGTTGACTGTTCAAGTGGCTCCTGAGTCAGTCACAACTGAGAGTCACTGCTCTGAGTGCTACCATAATGCAACAACAAATGCACATACTAGAAGCATCACTGATAACTAGAAAAATGGTCTCTCCTCACAGGAAAATAATGCTGGAGTTGTGTTATTTCATTGCTTGATATACAATTATGTAAATGTGTATGTGAAATGAGGCTTCTCTTGCAACCCTCAGTGTTGCCAAGCTTGAACCTTCTTCCCTCTGGTTTATTTATGGACCTTTAGTAAGTCAGATGTGAATTCTCCAGTGCAACAGCAAGAATATTAACATCCAGAGTTTTAAAAACAGCTTATGTCTTTATTAGCCATTGGTGTGCAGAGTCAGGGAGTTACTTACATCTCTGCAAAGGTCAAAAAACAGACCAGATGCTCAACATACCAAGATACTGTGGAAAGGTTACATGAGCATATTTCTGGTAGTGATCCTTTTTCCCATGGAATCTTTGGACTCATATTTGTTGCCCTGCACCTTGTGCTGCAATTCAGACACTCATGCAAAGTGATATGTTACTAGTCTGCTTTGGTAGAATTATACACACCATTTACACTGGTGCAAATGACCACTCACATGCAGGGCAATAGAGCATCAGGCCTATAGACTGTAGAGGTGCAAAAAGATGTATTAACCCAACGATTCT